CCCCGACCCCCCCCCCCCCCCCCCACCTTTGAGATCTCGCGACCAGCGCCTCTATTCTACAACCAACCCGACATGTGCTAACTAGCATCACAGGTGGCATGCGAGAGGACGACGATATCCGGGTGGACAACGTGATCTGCCGCACGCCGGCACGGAACGCCCAGAACCTCGAGCTTGTCAAGTCGGAGATCCTGGAGATGGTTGACCGCGTGGTACGTTGGCTACGTGTGGGCCCCTTGATGCTATTGGAGGTGAATTCGCCCAAACTGACCTGAATGATGTTTAAGGACTCGGAGTTCACCTCGCAGATTGTCAACGTCGACCGCCTCTACCACCGCCAGCTTCTCACACGTCTCAACGAGATTGAGGGCCTGGAGAAGAAATGGAACTGTAAAATCGTCTTCCCCAGTACCGAGCAGGCCAGCGATGAGGTGACCGTCACAGGTCCGCAGTGGCAGGTGCCGCAGTGCGTTGACGAATTCTTGGTACGCTCAGCTCAGCTACCCTTGTCCAACTCTATTTGGCTCCAGAATTAGATCGGCTAACTCAGTTTCTAGGGCATGGTCTCGGATAATCATGAGCTTGTGTTGGCTCAAACGCCATCCTTGATGAAATATCTCGAGTCTCTCGACTTCTCGGCCGACCTCGTGGGCAAGCTGAAGAGCCAGCATGAGGTCGAGGTGACAGTCCACACCAACAAGGATGAGCTCACCGAGGATGGCGAGCCGACCGTGACCCTCCTGTGGACCTTTACTCGCAACAACGCCGGCGGCCTGCGCGACGCCATCGAATTCCTTCAGAACCAGTTTGTGACCAGCGGCGTCGAGGCCGCCGTGATCAAGGGCGCGATCCCACGCCCCAAGTCCGACACATTCGAAGAGTCGCTCCCATTCTTCGACTCCAAGCTTCTCCAGCACGCGCCGACGCCCGTGGCCACCGACTCGCCTACCAAGGTTGCGTTCGGTGACGAGGCGGCGCGCGAGCGCAGCACCATCTTTGACCGGCTTCGTAAGCCCGGCAGCATGTCCAGCATTTCCTCATTTCTCGACCGCCGCAAGAACAGCTCGCACTCGGGCGTTAACTCGTTCTTCAAGGGGTCGAGCAACGTCTCCAAGTCGTCGCTCATCTCGATCGAGTCGACGCGCAGCTTCAACGCCGACCGGAACCCGTGGAACGACAGCGGGGTCAACCTCGCTGACGAGGACCAGCCGTGGTCCGCCCGCGCGTTCGGCAACGGCATGGACCACAAACTCATGGTCCCCCAGCCTGGCGACATGACGCCTCGCCACAATACCCGGCACTCCGGCGACAGCGGACGGCCATCCACTTCTCATTCTACACATTCAGGATACCCCGGCCCCATTGGGCCATTCCGTTAGATTCTCTCCTCTTTAGAAGCTCCACGCGACGAAAATACCCGGCTGGATATACCCTGGCGTAAAATACCCCGGTAGTGTTACCGTGCATTTCTTTCCCGGTTTGTTTCCCACCTGTTTCTCTGGCTTTATCTTCCTTGCTTTAGTTTCCTCATGTTATCTGATGTTTCGCTATCTGTGGCCTGAATGTTCATGTTACTGGGCGTCGTCACCGTTTTCCCACCTATCGTCGTTGCGTTTCCTCGTCTTCCACCCATCCCTCTCTCATCATTTTTACCGTGTGTTTTGCCGTCCAGATCATCCGCATTCATTCATACCCGCCTCTCCCACAAGTTAGCGATGTACTCATCACGATTAACGTACGCTCCTTTTATACCATATGATTTGATGCTGAGCGCAACAAAAGTGAATAAAGTAACGTGTCAGCCACTTTTGCTCGCCTTTGTTTGCTCTTCCGTCGTCATTACCCTATCCCACCCTGTTACTACTGTCATGCGAAGCGGGGACCACGGGGGAACCAGATTGCAAGCGGGCCATGGGTTTTGTATCTACCTGGTTTCTGCTGATTCTGCCAGGTTGAGGAGGCTACATGAGATTTTCACACAAAATTGCGGGCGCGAGGTTCAGCACGAGCAAATACACCCCGATATTGATTCACGCCTCAGGACGATACCGTCTCCCCAGCACGCAAGTTAGGTTACCCAAGTAGGCAGGTAAGTCCCCAACTCTTTGTCGACGCCGACAGGTGACGGAAAGTTCAGCCGCTGAATACCGCTGAGGAGAGTAGATACCTTGCAGCCAGATAGGCAGCCGGCTTACCTGCATACAGCGCAGCAAGGCTCCAGCTGGTGTTCTTCGTGCAACCAATGTCGAACGGCTGTAGACGTGCGTATGTGGAGCGAGGGGGCGGGGAGCGGGGAGCGGGGTCCCATCAGCCGCCGCCGCAGCACACATGGTGACAGGCACCTAGGCGAGGTGGGCACGACATTGCTGTGCCATCAACTGGCGGGGTGGCGGTTCACAATCAGGTTAGCCCCGTCAAGCAAACGTCTTACTGGCGATGAAGGGTGACGGCTGTCCGTTGGCTATGGAATGACGGACCGGCAAGGGTGGCTTCGGGAGGTTCCGGCGAAGGGAGGCTCGGTGTAGGGTAGGGGGTCGAGGTACCAAGGTACCGACTTGGTCAGCTCTTTTCTTGATTGCCTGCTTGGTCCTCTCCTTTGTCTTCGATGTGTTGTACTACCCTGGTTCTAGTTTCCCTCACAATTCATTTGTATAACACGGTTCTCGAATCGAAGCCTACCCAGCAATAAAGCAATTATCGTTTGTTGCTTTTCCCAAGCTCGAGGTCGGCCCTGCTGGCTGGCCAGATAGGGTTAATTCCCGTCAATCATAGCACAGCCCGTCGTTACACCTAGCCTGGCCTCTCTCCGCGTGGGGCATCGCAACCGTGGGCTCCATGGCTCAGCACGATTATTGCTACACCGGGCCAATCATGACGAGCGCTCGACGGGGGACCGAGAACGTGCGGCAGCCAAGGCGCAGGCGCAGGCGAGGGGACAGTGTTGCGCCCGCTCCTTCCCATCGCATTGCCATGGGGTGTCAGCGAGCTGCATCTTGTTCGACCTGCTGTGTCAATTCAAATGTTCTTTTTTTTCTTTGGACTTCCAATGTATTCGAACTCATCGTTTCAATATCATTGATCTTTGGCGTCCGTTTTGTGACCCCTGAGACCCCTAAAAACGCCCGATCAGCCGTTGCAACGGGTAGACAGACAGGCAGCCTTTTTCCTCCTCGTCCGACTCGGCACTAATCTTGACGCGCGTCGGTCGAGCGTTCTCACTTCCGACACCAGGCAGAAGTTTTGACAATTGCTGCTGCCTCCAGCGAGCGAACTCACCCGCCATTGCCCGCATATTTGTGCCTCGACTGCCGCCCCTCCTGTCGCATCTGGCACCATGGCCGAAGTGGAGGAGACTCAATTTTCGACCCTTGCCGAGCGCATTGCTGCGCTAAACAGGCAGAAGAACTTCCAATCCCCGTCCACAACCGCAGGAAAGCGACCGCCGCCTCCGCCTCCGCCGAATCGCCCCGTTTCTCAAGCTGGAGGGGGCCAGCTGCCGCCTCCCGCCAGGCCTGATGCCGTCTTGCAGAGGAGCCCGACTGTGCCTGCGCGGCCGGCTCCCAAGAATGGCGCCCCGCCGCTCCCCCGCCGGAGCACCGCTCAGGTGGCCGATGACATGTCGCCGCCGCTGCCAGGCCGCGGCCTAGCCCCTCCGCTGCCCACCCGCCGACCCTCGCACCCATCACAGGCCTCGCAGTCCCCGTCGGTCTCCCAGCAGGCCTCGCCTGCCTTGCCGCCCCGCAAGGCCTCGTTCCAGCGGCCCAATGGACGCAGGAACTCCAACGAGTCCGACGTCTCGTACGTCTCCACAATATCCAACTTTTCACTCGGCCATGCGCCATCGGCCGATCAGACACCGTCCGCAAGGAGGCTCCCGCCCGCCCTGGATCAAGCCAACTTGCCGCCCCTGCCCCCAACCAGGCGTGAGACGGAATCCAGAGCGAGGGAGGCCGCGGCGAACGGCGCAGCCAACGGCAAGGCATCTCTGCGATCAAAAACACCCATCAGCGAGCCACCCGCGAGGCCATCGCTTCCCCCGAGGCTGCCGTCGAGGCCAGCGAGATCTCCAGCCGTGGAGCCGGTGCAGGAGTCCGCTCCTGTGCTGCCCAGGAGGCTGCCTCCGCGCCCGACGAGCTTCGACCCTCCCGTCCCGGCACGGCCAAAGGTGCCAAATGTCAACGTACAGCAGCATGTCCCTGATGATGCCCCGCCACCTGTCCCTCTGGCGTCCAGGCCCACGGACGCGCAGATAGAGGCTGCCATATCGAGCCGCACCGCTACTCCCCAAGTACAGCCGCCTGCAGTCATCGATGACTGTTTGATTTGCCGCGACTTTTCGCAGCCGGACGCCGTGGCCGCACAATACCCTCTCCATGCGCTCCCGCGCCACAACGTGGCGAACTATTTGGCACAGGTCCTGTGCGGGCCCTTCTCGACTCTTACTGACAAGGCACGCGCTATCTTCACCTGGTGCCATCACAACATTCGTTACGACGTCGAGGGCCTCTTCGGCAACTGCATCCCGCGCGGACTGACCCCTGACCAGACGATCCTTTCGGGCAAAGCGGTATGCGAAGGGTATGCCAAAGTCTACCAAAACATCTCTCAGCGGGCCGGGCTCGAGTGTGTGGTTGTTGGCGGCCATGGGAAAGGGTACGGGTTCCACCAACCAAAGGCCGGCGAGGCCCCTCCGCCGAGAGACCCGACAGGGCATGCGTGGAATGCCGTGCGACTCGACGATGGCAGCTGGAAGCTTCTGGACGCCTGCTGGGGAGCTGGCCATCTCGGCGACAACCAGGCATACAACCAAAAGTTCGACCCGCTCCAGTTCACGATGAGCAACGAGCTGTTTGGGCTCAGCCACTTCCCGTCAGACTCGCGCCAGTTCTTCCGCGAGGACGGCCGCGTCCCCACCTGGGAGGAGTACGTCATGGGCCCGGTGCGCGGCGAGAAGCCGACGTGGTACAACGACGGCCACGACGAGGGCCTGTCGGAGCACACGGTGGCCCCGGCCGAGAAGCACATAGCGGTCCAGGCGGCCGGCACCGACTACGTGCGGTTCCAGTTTTCCCACCTCTGCGAGCACTGGAAGGGCGAGGTCCACGGCAAGGGCAAGCCGCGGCTGCTGGCGCTCAAGGTCAACGGCCGCGGCGGCCGGGGCGAGGAGTTTTTGCCACTCGACACGGACGGCTACTGGTGGTGGATCGACGTCCCGGCCTGCGACCTGGGTAACCCCGGCCAAAATGTGTCCGTGTTCGCCCTCAACACGCTCGGCGACGCCCACGTCACAAAGGACGAGTTCCTGAGGAATAAGGGCAGGATCGGCACGGGCTGGTCGGGCATCGCGGGCTGGGAGCTAGTTTGAGAGCATAGAGGGGGTAGTCACAAATCCAAACGAAAGAAAGAATATACCGAGCAGAATATCGACACAAAAGAGAGGGGGGGTATAAATAATAGAGGAACCAAAGGAGGGTTATAAGAGAAGAGATGGCAGAATACAAGGCCTCCCGGGTTTGGCGTCTGTTCACGACTTTGGCAGTTATTTCATATTTCTGGGTACAATACTTGGTGTCATGGGATCTGAGCGTTATCTTGAGCAGCGATGGAATGTGAGTGAACCAACGCATACCACAGTGCCTGAGAACAAGTTGATCGCTAATTTCCACGCTTCAGATTCAGGGGTAGTCTAATGCTATACATGGTTTATATATTCACACAAAAGCTCAAACTCCAGACTCCACAAGCCAGCCGTTCCTCGCCATGCCGCCTTCGAAATCAAAACCCACCCATCCCGAGCCAAGCCTCTCAGCTAGGTACTCATGTCCCCAGATCTCATCATGGCCAGCGTCTCCCACATGTCGGGGATGCCTCCGAGGCCCGTCAGCGACCTCGGCACCTCGTGGAACGGCCAACGGTTCTGCGCCACCTTGGAGCCGACCTCGCGAATGAGGTCGTGCAGCGCGGGGCCGTCCCAGAGCCCCTCGCGCGTCGTGGCCTCGCGCAGTATCTTCAGGGCCTTTTGGCGCACGGCCGGGTCCTGGGCGCTGGTGGCGGCGAGATAGACGGGCCAGAGCATGCCCGAGTCGTATATGAACCACCTCCCGCTTGGGTTGATGGCGCCCCCCTGCTGCTTGATCGCATTCCCCGTCTGCACTATGACACTTGCCACCTCCACCATCTGCGCCAGGCTGGCCTGTGACCTGTGGCTGGCGCCCCCGCCGCTATCGCGTCTCCCGTTCGCGGTGGCATCGATGCCGCCGAGGAGCTCGCCCGACATGAGAGCCGGATCGAGCTCCCACATCTCCCCCGACGGGCTCGAGCCCAGGCCGAAGCCGCCATCGAGGCCGACGTCCGACATGAGCAGGCGGCTAAAGTCGCCGACGATGGCGTCGTCCTGGTCCTCAAGCCCCGTCATGCCGTCGATGAAGACGTTGGCGGTGAGAACCTGCAGGAGGTCCAGGTGCAGCGACATGTGCTCGGGTGTGGCCGGGGCCGGGCCGGCAGGGCCGGCAGCAAAGCGGTCGAGCAGGCTGGCCAGGCGGCTGGAGCGACGGCGCAGGGCGGCCTGCTGCTCGTGCTGGTAGGGATCTGACCAGAAGCCGTGGTCGGCCCAGCGGCCATTCGTCTCAGACATGCGCGCAATGACGTCGCGCAGGTGGCTGCTGATGTGGGCGTGCGCCTCCGGCAGGGACTCGAAGGAGTCGCGCGTGTCCGGGGGGAAGGTCAGGGAGCCGTCGTCGAGACGGCGTCGAGAGTAAGCGCGCAGGGCGAGGGAGGGCTGCACGCCCGAGGCGAAAAGTGCAGCGCTGCATTCAAGGCGGCAAAAGATGCGGATTATCTCGCGCATGTCCCGGGAGGCCTCGGGGTGTTGCGTATGTGACGAGGGCGTGGATGACTGCTGCTGCTGTGGCTGCGGGGACGGAGGAGAGGGCGAGGGGTGGCGGGAGGGCGGCATACTACCGCTGAGATCGGCGTCGTTGGCGAGAAAGTCAAAGGCCTCAGGGACCAGCGACTCGAGAATCCGCAGGCCGTTTGTCAGGTGAGTGAGCGCCGCGGTGTGGTCGGCCCGCAGCATCTCGAGGCAGATGAAGGACAAACAGCAGATGAGGGTCACCTGGATACTCTCGGGGCTCGACGGGCACGCATGCCTGGCAAGAAGCGCGATGCTCTTGTTGTACTGCTGAATGGTGAACAGCTCGAGCTCCTCACTGGACTCGTCCCCCGCTGCTGCCGCCGCCGCTGCTGCTGCTGCTGCTGCTGTCCCGGTTCCCCCGGGACCCACGGCCTCGTCGCTCCGATGCCAGTTGTTGCCAGGAGACTGCTGGTACACCTGGTAGGCTGAGCCCAGGGCTATCAGGGCATGCTTGACGGCGCCCTCGCGGTGGGCAAGTCGGGGCGCGATGGTGGCCCAAAAGTACACGGTGCCGTAGTCGGACGTGTGCCCTCCGGCAAGCACGCACGGAGGAGGGGAGTCGGCCGGGCACGAGATGGCGGCGCGGAACGAGTGGAAGAAGCGCCTCTCCTGTTCAGTTCCGCCAATGTCGGCAGCGATGGGCCGCAGCGAGCGCAGGTTGGAGTTCCACTGGTAGGCACGCAGAAACTCCTGGCGCGCCAGCTCCATGTTGCGCTGCGTCTCCTCGACCCTGCTGGCCGAGAGCACCCGGCTTGGAGAGCGCGTGCTGTCGTAGCCATCGCAGACCCGGCCCGTTGACGTGCAGCGCTGGCAGGCGGGTTTTCCCTCGTCGCACTTGACACGTCGGATTCTGGCGATTGGTCAGCTTTTGCCCCTTTTTGTCCTACTTCTCGATTCTTTGCCGCCTTTAGTCGATATGATTGTCTTTCTATCCCCTTCTATATCTTTTCATTTGCTCCGACAAGGATTTGTTATCCATCTCGGGGTTTGCTCGACTTCCCGTCGTCGTCTCGAAGGGGGGTTCCCGATTCATCGGTCCCATCCCAAAACACTTACTTGCTGAGGACTTCTTGTTAGCTCCGGAATATGAAACTACACAATGCAGCTTTCTTCCTTGGTATGTCTTATTCTTACCAAGTGATGCAGCCGGTGCGAACTTTGGGCTTTGATGCCCTTGTCCGACGCTTAACATCTGTACTTTCTCCAGGACTGTTGGCTGACGACTCCGAGTTGGAGTCGGTAGGCGACTGTCCCCTAGATGGCTTATTCATGGCCGAACTCGGTGTGACGAGAAGTGTGCAGGCGTGTCGTCGGCGAGGCGAGAGGAGATGCGGCGTTGACTACTTGTGGTGGCTTGTATATAAGGTGGGAAGAAAGGAAACCTATGCGGCAACCGCAACTCCAAACAGTGACGGCCTTTCGGAGTGAATAGGGAAAACGAGCTCGATGGTCCCTTTTATCAAGCCACCTTTGAGGACCAGGCGGGCAAGGGACACGAAGCTGTATTAATCAGGAAAATGGCCGAGATGCCGTTGCCTCGAGTTTGCCATGCTGCTCTGACATGACAGCCGCAGATACGTACCGATCTCACCTTTCATAGTCTGGCCAATATCAGGTGCCCGCCTCAGCAAAAGGCGTTTCTACATGCCGAAAATCGCCCTGCCACGCCGCCACCTTCGTGGGCTATCCTGGGACCATGCCAAGGGGCGTTCGTGAACCCTCTTCTTTTTTTTGACTGTTGCCTGGCTAGGACCTTGCGATCTGTGTGACAGGGGTCCGGTGTGGAGGGGAGGATAGGCGGATGGGAGGGGTGCGCATGGGATGAAGGCTTCGGGAAACAGGGGATAGGGGTGGAACAATGACGACAGAGAATTTGGCATGGGTAGGGCATGGGAGAGAGGGAGGGAGACAGTGTGCGTAGAGTCTGGTCTTCTTAGGAGATACGGGCTGGGGATAGCGGCGGTAGTCGGCAGGTGGACTAGGGTGGCTGGTAAGGGCACCCAATGGAGCTTCTCTGAAGGAGGAGCAGCAGGAGTGTCTGGTGCTAACGTCATGGCGAGGGCGTCGTGGGAGTGGTGTGTGTGTTTCTTTCTTTGGCGAGGGAGAGCGCAAGGGATAGGCGATACCGGCAAGCCCAGTGCGCTGGGAGTCCCACCGCTTCGCGCTTTCTTCCCTGTTGAACCATGTTCCAAGCACGGCGGGGTCCGGGCGAATATGGGCGGGAGGAGCATCGGGCGCTGAGCCGCTCCTTCCTGATTTGTTAGTCGTTTCCCTTTGTTTCCTTTTCTGTTTATCATTATTTAATTTTTATTTCTTTATTTTTGCCCTTGGGGATTTTGGGGGCAGTCAGCTCCTTACTAAGACCACATGGCACAGGGCAGGAGCAGACAGGCGCGACCTCCATCAGCTCTCGTCTCTGATTTGCTCGCAGACCCGAATTGGGCCTTGGGGTATCGCCCCTGCCCACCCAGATATTCTTGGCCACATCCTGACAATTTACCTCCAGGTACACATCAAATTTACCAGGCTGTTACTGTCTGTGGCCTACCCACCAATGCGGACCTGTGGGTAGCGATGCTACCGTTACCTGTGAGCGTGGAATCCCAAGAAGGACCGAGACAACGCGGGGATGTGCGGGAGCCCACGGCCGATTTCCATAGCTAAATGATCCTCCAGCTTGGCTACTCAAGGTTCAGAGACCAGATGTCATGATGGGGGTAGGCAAGGGCTGGAGCGGAGACCTACTGGATGTGGAAGAAGAAAAAGAGAAACAAACAAAAATGACGAGCATTTCTATTCCCCTTGGTCGACTTGCCCTTGTCCACTTCTCAGGTAGCTCGACGCAAGAGAGAAAATATAGTGGAGACTGGGGACTCGAATTGAAGGAGCAGGGATGCCATCACATGTACGTACCTGTCAGGGGACGCTGCTAGACTTTTCCGCCTTTTGGACATGCGGCTTTTGGTATTTTATCGGCTGGATGGGCAGCAAGGAGCGGCCTGCAGCCGTCCAGTCCGTGCACCCAACAGAGTGAAGATGGATAGGCGCATGTCAGATCCTTGCATGAGGCGCGAGGAGTTGGCTCGGCGTCAGGTACGTCCACTCAGCCCTCCAACGTCACTCGAAGCGCTGAGCTGGGGCATTGAGGTCAACAGCATACGATGCCTACGATGGAGGACGCCTTCTTTCATGTATTTTCTGTAACATGTAGCAGAGAGCTGCTAAAGAGAATGAAGGGGGGTTTGCTAGTACATACTGCCCCTCGATAGAATACAACAAACCCAATCGAGCAGAGCATGTGGCAAGCAGGAGTATCGCTGCCATCCGGGCTCAAACCCCGGCTGAACCACCAGGAGTCCGAATCCGGAATAGCGTCCAGGCTGCCAAATAACTTTGATTGTTTCTCCACCCCGCTGACCCAGCCCCCACTCTGGTTCCTGTCTTGGGTTTTTCTATCCTATTCTTCATTTTTCCTCGCCATTGCTTTTACTCAATGTCTCTGGGACGCCGAGGCGGCATGCGCTGTACCGACAAAGCAGGCCTGGCTGGAACCACTCGGGGTGTGTACCAGCGGCACCGCCTCGCACAACACACCGCCCACGCCCCATCACCACCTACTGTACCTACCTTACCTCGCTACCCCCCCTTGAGCAAGTGCCGCACTATCCGCGACTGCCACCTAGCGACGGGGTGGCTGAGGGGCGATCCCGCTATGCCCGGACCTGGGTCTGCTCATGGGGTGCGTGTCTCTGTCAGATCACTGGCCTAAAAGACCAACGCTGACCTCCGCGCACACCTCCAAGTGCGTTATTCTCACACAGCGTGGTATTCCGTGGGGAGGACTCCGGGCATGCGGACCATCTCGGACGCCTGCGGACCATCTGCGGACGAATGCTCCAGGAATCGTTGACAGCCCGCCCGCCTGTCCTGGACCTCTTTTGCTGGTGGGCTGGCATGGTCATGTTTTCCACTCACTTGTCCTTTCCGGAGACCCCGGTGCTGCCGGGGGCTCATTGGCAGATGCTCGGAGGTGTAAACCGGCAAGCAAATGAATGGCAAGGAAGTGAAGATGCTGGCTGCCTCCAAGGCATCTTGATAACTCATCCTCGGCACCGCCCATGGCCCTAGCATGGATGCCATGGCCCGGACGAATCGGGGCTTCCCGGGGGTATTTTCTTTGGGCTGGGTGAGCGATGATGCCCCACAGAGCGCCCGTTGGATGTCGCCTCACCTCGCCCAGGCCCAAGTCCACGATGGGGGCATTACACGCGCGCTTGCTGTTGGGAAGACCAAGGCTGCGATTGGTCTGTTCGTCTATCTTAAACCCATCGACGGACTAGCAACGTTGAAACACCAGCCCATCAACAAACATAGCCGCCAATCAGGCACAGGCTCTCGCACCCGCACAGCCGCGGGGACCGGTGGAGAGAAGTCCCTGCCGTAAGATGACGGAGGCGGATGGGACGGGGCAGGTTGGAGATGCCAAGTGGACGGGTGGTGGTGGCCTGTCGCATCCCTGACGCACCCGCAAAACAAGCTTAACGGGGCTTCCGTTAGCAGCCAATCACACGACCGCCCTCGTAAACCAACCGCACGCCATCCGCAGGGCACCACCGGTCCAGCCCTACGGTGCCGTGGTCTTGGCTCAGCACCACCTTCCCTCGCCTTCTACCTCACACCGTCAGCACTATCACCGACAACACTTGGGGAGCTGCGTCAACGCCTTCGCCTCGAGCAATCTTACCATACTGAGCAAGAGGCTCAGCCTTTTCATCGCCGGCTTTCCCCTGAAGTCACTAAACGGGCTACATAGCCTCCTGACCCTTTCAGCCCTCAGCAAGTTGACCATTTCCCAGCACGCCGGATCGACTGATCCGGGAACATTGTGTTTGCATTGCCTCTAGCGACATGCAGCATGTCCTGGCCTACCGGACTACCAAAACTGGGAGGAAGGAGTGTGAGTATCCAAAGCACAATGGCTGGCTAGCCGCCATCGGCCAGCCCTACCCGCTTGCTGTCCATCAATCTCGTTTTATTACTCGGCCACCCTGCATCGTGCGACACCCTGGCTATCTCGAAGTCACTCAACCATTCAACTTTCTCCGTGGCTGCCATCTTTGCCGGTAGTGCCGCTCTGTGGGGCAATAAAGCCGTCGTCCAAGTCGCATCTCGCGAGCCACCTGCCCTGCCGAGGCTGCCACGCGGGCCCCCTCCAGATTCTTGCTACAACCATGTGTGGGGGCGATTCGACCCTGTGTCCATCTCCACGCTAAGCGTTACTCTTGATTGGTCCTAAAACGAACATTCGTTCTAAATAGGCGAGTATCTAAAGCTGGCGGCATTACGGCCATGAGGGCCCTTGCCCTCTTTACCGGATCACCACCCCCCTCTCTTTCCTCACGCCCTCGATAGGGCGCCCCACCGAAGGCAACGAGGCGCTCTCGTGATGGGCCATTGCCATGGCCTAGACACTCCTGGGTGTTTGACCATTCAAGAATGGAGTCTGGGCCATGCTAATTTTGTTGCCTGCTCTCGGGCTATTTTGGACCAATGCACCCTGCGGAGTATCATTTCTCTCGTGGACCCGGCCCCATATTCTCATGGTACCGATGCAGCCACTCGATATCGCCTCGTGGGTGTTCTTCATATTAGGTAGGTACCCTAGGTAGGTAGTTTGTGAAAAAGCAAGAACACGCTGGTGTGCATTCTATTTACATGGATCATGACCAAAACAGTAAGCAGGATATGCCTCCCAAGCAAGACACGCCGCCCAATCATTGCCTGATGGGACTCAGTTGTATCTCTTCCTTCCCCATCCCCTGGCCATCATCTAGGAGGACACCGGGGCTTTGCCGCCACGAAGCATGTCGATGGAACGCTTCGCTACTAGCCAGAATTTACGAGGGCCCGTGGGCTTGTCTTCTTCCTGCGTCGCCTTCGGGCCGGCTTCGACGTCAGCACTCCCACCAGCAGCCAAGACCGCGGGCTGGGGCTGTTGGGAAGTAAGGCCGAGTCGGTCGGGCTGGGCGGGTTTGGGCGGCATCGCTTTGTCGTCGGGCTGCTTCGACCCGTTGACCTCTCTGGCGTCGACCATCACAGCACCCTCTGCATCTACGAGCGTGGAGCACCGGGCGCAGAACACGCTGTGACGCATGGGCGGAGGGGTCCAGATCTCGTCGCCGCTCGTCTCGGCTGCCGCGGCGGCGGCGTCATTCTGCACAGCACCTGCGGGCGCCGCCGTTGGCCTTGGCGTTGTGGTTGCCGCCGCCGCCGCCGCCGCCGCGTCGTTCGCGGCCCGTTGGGCCATGCTCTCGCTGCTGGAGATGCGGACGGCACCCCTCGGCACTCCCGACTCCCGCTTCTCCGGACCGGCAGCTCCGGCGGCGGGGCCACCGGGGGCGCCCTTGGGCTTCTTGATGCTCCTCCACTCCATGAAGCAAGCCGAGACGAGGGCGCCAAAGGTGAGCCCCATGGCGGCGAGGAAGATCTTGGTGCAGGCAAAGTTGTAGGCGTTGGCGATGATGGGCACGACCTCGGGCGGCACGGTGCGCAGCAGGGCCGTGATGCCGCCCCTGACGATCTTCTGCGGGTCGAGGCCGTTGACGCCCGCGAGCTCGCCGACGAGCAGGTTGCTGAGGATGGCCTGGCCGACCGAGGTGAAGACGGCGCCGCCGAGCTGTTGGGCGAAGAAGTTGATGGCGATGCCCGTCGAGACGTCAGCCATGGGCAGCACCGTCTGCACAGCCAGCCCCGCCGTCTGCATGCCGAAGCCGAGGCCGAAGCCGGTCAGGAACTGGTAGGCGATCCAGTGCGACGGTGATGTGTGCGGCTGGAAGGTGCTCATCAGGCCCGTGCCGATAGCCATGATGCAGGGCGCTAGGATCATGGAGGGGACGTAATAGCCGATCTTTTGCGTCGCGATGCCCGAGATCATACTCGAGATGACGAGGCTCAGCACCAGGGGCAGCGTGTAGATGCCGGACTGGAGCGGGCTGACGCCCTGGGCGGTCTGGAACCAGATGGGGATGAAGTAGATGCACATGAGCATGGCGCCGGCGATGAAGAAGGTGAAGAGGGTCCCAAAGTAGACGCTGCGCTGCATGATGACATGCGGTGGGATGGTGGCCGTCTCGGGCTTGAGCACCTGCACGGCCCCGAAGCTGAACATTAGGACGCCGAAGATGACGAAGAGCGCGATGACGATAGGGTTGCTCCACGCGTAGACCGAGCCGCCCCACTGCAGGGCCAGCAGCAGGGACACGATGGCGGGGACGAGGAACATGGTGCCGATGGGGTCGAGGCGCTTGATGTGCGTCATGACGGGCACTGAGGGCACCTCGGGCTGTGGCGGGTTCCACCAGAGCAGCATGGCGATGAAGCTCACGGCGCCGATGGGGAGGTTCATCCAGAAGCACCACCGCCAGCTCAGGGCGCCGGTGAAGGCGCCGCCGATGAGCGGGCCCATGACGGAGGCGATGCCGAAGACGAGGCCGAACAGGCCCTGGAACATGGGCCGCCTGTGCAGGGGGACGATCATGAACATCAGCATGCAGCCGGTGAAGATGCCGGCCGAGGCCATGCCGGCTATGGCGCGGCCCACGATGAAGACGACAGAGCTGGGGGCCGCGCCGCAGATTGCAGAGCCTGCCTCGAACACGATGATGCATATAAGGAAGATCCTGAACATGGCATGTTAGTCGAGGCACTCCTGGAAAGTAGCACGCACACCCCAGTCAGGGTGGGGGAGCACACATACCACTTTGTTGGGTAGAACTTGTACACGCGGCCAAACAGGAGCTGCGAGGCCGCCGTAGTCAGCATGTAGGCCGAGGCATACCAGCCGACGTCGCCGAGGCTCTTGAACTCGTCGGTGATCCTGGGGATGGCGGTGGCGAGGATGGTCCGGTCCAGGGCGACCAGGAACAGGGCGAGGAAGTTGCAGAACATGATGGTCCAGAACTTCAAGCTCCTGGGGTCGTAGAGATCGCTTCCGGGAGGACCACCGGCGCCGGCGGCCGGCGCCGGCAGCTGCTGCTGCGACCCGTCGGCGGCGGGCTGCTGTCCCCTAACCGGCGTCAGATTCTCGACATCGCTCTCGGCGCCTGGCGCTGACGATGCCGAGGTCTCGCCCATCTCTACGTCGTCCTTTTCCCTTCCCCGGTACAATGATGACGACTGGTGGCTGGCCAGGGTTGTTGACGACCGGGACTTGTGTTTTGAGGAAAACATGGCGGGCGGTTCTGCCGAGAGCAGGGTGTATCTGTGGTACGTATATAATATCGAACGACGACGGGACGGTGCAGCGCTCAGGCCAGAATGGATTAATTAAAGGATACGACAAGCAAAGGTAAAAGAGATGAGAGAACAAGGCGTGGGCGGCGGCAAACAACGCCCTGTCCGCGTTTGCGTCCGTGTTCTGGCACGGCGGCCTGCGTCCCGCGACGTCTTTCGACAAGTGCCGTCTGATGTTTACAGGGGGCAAGGCTTCTTCTGACTGGGGGGAACTGTGAGGTATCCCAGATGCAGATTTGGCCGTAGGAGGAAACGCGCCGACGCCACCAAATTAACGGTCTGGAGGCAGGACGGTCAAAGAGGGCCCAGGAACGCGGGTATTGGAAGCCAGAGGAGAGGGAGCATATAAGAAAGAAAGCGGCAGTGGACAGCAGGAGGTAGGGAGCAGCAGCAGCAGCAGCATCATCAAGGCAGCATCGAAGGGCTGACCGGGCTTCTGGCTCAAGTCCGTGCCGGCGACCCAGGGGCCTAGGAGCCGACCTATCGGCCTCTATGAGCTGGCCGACCACCGACAGGCCTGCTGGTCATGTTTCCCAGACGGGGAATCCTTCTTTCCACAAGGGGGTCCATCCGTCGTTCAAGCCACGATGCATTCTGCGTCGTTCCGAGCTAGCAGCCTGCCACGGGCGCGCGGGCGTGCCGCGGGCGAGGGCAGCACGAGGAGGAAAGGGGAAAAGGCTGTGAGGGCGGTGGGTGCGGTGGGGAGTGGTGGGCTTGCTTGCGTTGGTGTGGAAGTTGTCATCGACTCAGCCCTCACCATGCGCCGAGCTGCCGCCTGTATGTATCTATGACACGCATGACTTCGGGCAGACAGGCGACATAATATTGAATCTCGACAGCGCCGACGGGCTGGGGGGAATGCAATGGCAGCGCTTCCCCATCGGAGCTGCGAGATATCGAGACGTTGGGGAGAGTAGCGTCCGTCCCAATCGGGGCTAGCGCGGCGATACCGACAGGGACCTCTCGGGTGCCAGAGCAGCTCTCCCGGTCCCGAGCTCGAGGCCAGGCAACCGAGCCTTCTCCTCGCACCCCCTCTTTTTGTTCCCTTGTGCTGGCACCAGCTGGGCAGCAAAAAGTGGTGTGGTGACGGCAGACGGGCGGGCCGGCAGTGAATGGCAATGGGTGGCGGGAAAGGGCGATTGACTGTGTGTGGGATCTGGTTGGCAGGAACGATGGGGGGAGCACAGCACGCGGCACAGCTGTTGTAGTCTTGGATTGACGGCATGGTCGATTGACGGCATGGTTGAGCGCGCATGCACTTGCCGTTGTGAGATGGGCGGAGCGATTCTGACCTCGTTTTCCAGGCAGAAAGAAGCGGGACGCAAATACGCACTCCCTCCTCCAGACCAACCGGCAGCCAGCCAGAGAGCAAGCAAGCAAGCAAACCCCGTCCCCTCTGGTCGCATCCAACGACGCACCGAGCCGCGTTCTAGGCTCGCTGCCCCTTTCGCCGTCCCATCTTTTTTGCCCTTTGCCAAAAAGCCGCCGTCCAATGCTGCGCTGCTTGGACCTGGCATTGACAGATTCCTGCTAAACTGCGGCTCGCGCAAAGACAGCAAGCAGTACCCAGCAACCGCAGCACCACCACCGTTGCGGGAATGACGCATGGCTGCAAGCGACACCCGCAGCCTGCCCCTAACCTAAGCAAAAGAAAGCTGCTGCCACCACCACCGCCTGTCGTCTGCCACGAACGGTGCATGCCCGGCCAGCAGCGCTTGGTCGTGCCCATGTCGCTCGTCGATTGGGATCACCTCCTATCAGAGCGGCCAATTCCCCAATAGAGTCCTCTCCACCTCCCTTCTCCTCCTCCCCACACGGCCCCAGCAGCTAGTCGACCCGACCGTTTGCTGTTGACTTTGTTTTGCATTGCCTCCTTTTGCTTTTATTTGATTTTAAATCGATTTCTTTTAATCGTTTTTATTCCCGCGCCCGCAGGCACCTTGCTTATCTGGCGCCCTCAGCCGGGCGGGGCGATTGACAGCTCACGCGACAAAGAGACAAGGAAAGAGGAGAGAAAAAAAAAGGGTAGAGCAAGAGTCCCGAGGTCAGACGGCCGAGGGCGCCACGCAACGCACCCCAGACGCAGGCATTCTGCGGGCTGTCCTGTTGGCGCACAAAGCGCAACCAACGGCGGGCAGGACCAGACAGAAAAAGCAAAACAGAAGAAAGAAAACAAGTAAAGTTCGAGAAGGAAGGAAGCTTCCTTTTGTGAACACACAAGGCATCTTCCCTGCCAAATTGAGGCATTGGATGCGTCCGGAGAATCTTTCTTTTTGACAAGCAGACGCGTGCCAAGGCCAGTCAGACCTCTCGGATGCGCCAGAGCCTGCCCACGTCCGAGACCTAGCGGCTCTTTGTGCCTGGCCCGAGCTCGACATCGCCTCGCCGCATGTCAAAGAGCTGGCACTGCTGGTAGCACCAGGGGTGGTTCTGCAAACTCAAAGCGCCCCTCGGATCCGAGCAGCTTCGCCCTCTCCCAGAGCCTCTCTCCAGGGGTGTCCCATCCTGGGCCGTTGTCAGACAGGCCCGTGACGATCTCTCTCACCCACACCCCCCCTAGTCGCCCTCCACCATGGCCTCTCGGCCGGACGAACTGGCGATTTCCCCACTCCGACCTCCGGGCGCCGCCCCGCTCCATGCCCAGGGCCCTGCCTCGGCCCGCAGCTCCGTCTCCGCCCATGGTCATGTCTCTGGCCTGAGCCCCCCTGGTTTCAGCCCAAATTCCGGTGCCGGCATCGGCAGCGCCACCGGCCCTGCCAACAGAAACCCCAACGGCCCCGGCCCGGGTCAAGGCTACGCCGTCGGCGACGCTGGCGGCGGCGGCGGCCCGGGCTTCGATAAGCTCACCAGGGGCCACTCGTGCAAGCTGTGCCAGCTGCGCAAGGTCCGCTGCGACAAGAACAAGCCCTGCGCCAACTGTGTAAAGGCCAACGTCGAGTGCCGCGTGGTGCCACCGCTGCCTCCACGCCGCCGCAAGAAGCGGCCGCAGGAGCGCGAGCTGATCGAGCGTCTCAGGAAGTACGAGCAGCTGCTGTCCCAGAACGGCGTCGCCTTCGAGCCCATCGCCCAGGACCTAAAGCCGTCGGATCTCGGCGGCTTGGATGACGTCGACGAGCTGGAGCAAGGCCTTGGTGGCCTCAAAACTTCGCCTGGGAGTCACAACTCGGACCCGCCGCGCGAGAGGGAATACAGGTGGTTCCCCTACTACAGGGAGGAGTCGGCTGATAGCCAGGTGCTGTTGACCCGCGTCTGGACGCAGTACAAGGTGAACCACGATGCTTACGTAGACTCGTCCGACGAAGAGGAGCCTAGGCAAAACACGATCCACCATGCTTTTGACAGGATGTTTGACAACCAGGACGGCTTTCCATTCGTGCTGGGCGGTGGTGCCGCCGCGACGACCGTCACGGACAAACACCCGCCGGGCATCCAGATCTTTCAGCTCTGGCAGATCTACCTCAATAACGTCAACCCCCTCCTCAAGCTTACGCATACGCCGAGTCTGCAGGGTCAGATCATCGAGGCCGCCGCCAACCCGGCCAAGATCTCAAAGCCTCTCGAGGCGCTCCTGTTCGGAATCTACCTCATCGCCATCACGTCGATGCAGGACGACGAGGTCCACAGCACCTTTGGCGAGGAGAAGCCGATGCTGCTCGGCAGGTTCCATGCTGGCTGCCAGCAGGCGCTGCTCAACGCCGGCTTCATGCGCAGCCCCGATTTGATGGTACTGCAGGCTTACCTCATTTACCTGCTGAGCGTGCGCCAGTTTGTTGACCCACGCTCCATGTTTTGCCTGATCGGCATCGCCGTGCGTGTCGGCCAGCGCCTTGGCATCCATCGTGATGGCGCCCAGTTCAACCTGCCACCCTTCGAGGTTGAGATGCGCCGCAGACTTTGGTGGCAGCTCGCCGCCTTCGACAAGCGCATCGCCGAGATCACCGGCTCCACCATCACGGCCCTGTCGTCAAGCAACAGCGACACCAAGGCCCCCTTGAACATCAACGACACGGACCTACACATCCACGCCAAGGACTCGCCTCCACCGTACGCCGGGCCCACCGAGCTGCTGTTCGTGTTGAGCCGCATCGAAATGATCACGGCCGCCCCTACTGCCCCGGGCACACATGCTCCCTCGGGCACCAACAAGCCCAAGTTCCAATACTCGGCCGTGCCCTCGGCTCCCGATCTCGTCACGCACGTGGCCAACCAGAACCTGCCAGTTCAGAACATTGACGACTATTGTCGATATGTCGAGGAGGCGTACCTGAAGCACTGCGATCGCAAGATCCCTCTGCACTTCTTCACCCTGATGTTCACGCAGCAGAATCTCTGCCGGCTGCGCGTCATCGCGTACCTGGTCCGCACCGCCGCTGGTATCCAGGGAGACGAGGCCGAGCGTGACGCACTCTTCGAAGAGGCAATCCACATGGTCGAGTACGACAATGTGATACAAGCTGCCGACAACCTCAAAGGCTTCCTGTGGTACACTCACATGTACTTTCCGCTCCCCGGCTACATGTTTCTCGTCCATGAGCTACGAGCCCGCCGCACAGGGTCCATGGTCGAGAGGGCTTGGGACGCCATCATCGAGAATCACGAGCGCCGGAGCCTCATGCGCAACCTCCGCAGCCCCGTGCACTTTGCCTTTGGCACTCTATTCCTCAAGGCTTGGGACGCTCGCCAAGGCGCAGAGGCGCAGCTCGGTCATGCCCTTGAGACTCCTAAATTCATAAATGCCTTGAGGCAACGTCTATCCAAGCATAAACCACCAGGCCCTGGTGGCCCACCGCGGCAGCAACAGGCATCACCACACCAGCCACGGCAGCAACAACAACAACAGCAGCAGCAGCAGCAGCAGCAGCAGCAGCAGCAACAGCAACAGGCACATCAGAGACAGCAGCAGCAACAACACCACCAGCAACAGCAACATCAGCACCAACACCAACAGCATCATGAGCAGCACCACGCTCAACTGTCTCAGCAACAGGCACAACAACAGTCACAACAACAGTCACCTCAGCACACACCACAAAGCCTACAACAACAAACGCCAGACCATACTCCCTCAAGCCACAGTGACGGGTCCACAGGAGGCATGGTTGTGGACGAACCCACCTTGTTCACCGGTTTTGACGGCGTGAATCAGTTCTTTAACGGTGGCGACGCCGGGACCAGCCAGCAGCAGGATGTATCAGATTTAGGCTTTGCAGAGATGGACTGGCTCAGCATGATGCCCGAAATTTCCAACCTTGCCGGCCTGAACCACATCGGCCCAGGCATGATGGGCGGTATGGGTGCCCCAGGCATGGGTATGCCGTCAATTGCTTCAGCGCTTCAGCCCCAGCAGTCATACCAACAACCTCGCCAGCAACCCTCGGGGCAGCAGCAGCCACCCCCGCCACACCAGACATCGCCTCCACCACACCACCACGTTCACCCGCTTCACCAGCACCAGCACCAGCACCAGCACCAGCACCAGCAGCCACAGATGGCCCACGGATTGCCCATGGCATCGCAGCACTACCAAGTGCGCATGCAGCACCAACACGGGGTTCCGGGACTGCGCGGGGATCACGGCGGCTAAAATGCCGACCAGTGTTCCCGTTTAGAAACCTAGTCCACGACCGCTCCTTTTGGACTTGTTCGCCATATTTCCACGTTTATGTCTATATCTCGTTCTTGACCGGCTCCTCCGATATTTATTACAAGGCCAGATGGGGCGTCTTCTGGCTATCCGATACATGAAACCCCGCTACATGGTCAGATGACTTGGATATGAAGAAGAGCGGAGTATATACGGTTCAGAGGTGCATAGCACCGTTTTGGCGGAACTGATCACCATACGCACACTCTTTTTTACCACTTCTTACGTACGTCCTGTACATTTTCCCCCTCGCACGTTTGCTAGTAAGCAATCAAAATGGAGGCATATGTGGCATTAAGCGACAACCAAGCTTATACCCCGTTAGACTACTTTGTTTTGTTGGATCAAAAAGATTGGGTTGGATTTCGAGGGTGCCCGGACGCGCGAGCTCCTTGGTGGGACCATGACGAGTATGATACTTGATTTGAAAGGTAAATCTTTTTTCTATGCTAAACTAATATATGAGCAACGTTCAAAGCGGTGAAGCCAGGTGGATGTCTGCCTACCTATCCCTTGCCTCGTTCCCGGGGCTGGCTGAGGCGTGCGGCGCGGGGCGGTCGGCCCGTTCCGCCTGCCAGGAGTCAGTCGGACAGGCATCATGGTAGCTCGGGGTCCGCCGCCCGGTGGCAGACTTCGGACCTGTCATCGTATATCACGGTCCAAGCCTCAAAATAAGACAAGGTTCTCCAGAGTTTTTGGGGAAGGAAAATTATAAGGCTACCGGGACCCAACTGCCGGGACCAAATAATAAAACTATCAGATTTGCCTGGCTCTATCCCTTAGGCCTAGTCGAACCTGCTGACAAGTGAGTGGCCGTTTTTTTTGTTTGTACTTTGAAAGTCTACCTAAATGACAGAATGCTTTTGAGGGGGTTCGTTTTGTTTACATACAAACTGCCACCACCAAAGTGGCAGTACGCATCATCATCACTGGTATATGGCTTATTTTACAGAGTTGCGACTGGCAAATCACACCGCCGCTCTCGAAAACGGCGTTTTGGACCCTGCCCGAGCCTTCGGAAGTTGTCGGCTACCGCAGCCAGCAGATTATATAAGTGCCATGGCGGAGAAGCCCAGCCCAACCGCGCGGTCCTGTGCCCGCTGCTTACACGTCATTATGCGACGCCGTTCAGCCGGATCCCGACCCCGAGGCCTTTTTCGGTTCTTCCTTGTTGCCGTCCGATCTCGGCTTCTTCTCAGAGTCTGCTGCGGGCTCGCCGTTTTGGCGATGTGCAGGGTGGTTTGTCAGGTTGTGCCATATCGATTTCAGGAACCCTTCGTTCTCGTGCGAGCGGGCATCAGACCTGCTCAAAGGCGTCAATGAGAAAGATGCCAAGACAACAGGGTCGCAATAGAAATAACAGGGTATGCCCATCCTTACCCGCTCATGTTGATGTTCATGATCCGCTTGGCCGTCTTGTCGCCCATCTCCTCTGCGAGCATCTCGATTATGGTCCTCTGGTTGGCCGACAGGTACTTTGGCATCGAGACACGGAACTCGACACGGAGGTCGCCGTTTGCCGAGCGGCGAGAGCCCAGCTTCTTCATGCCCATGCCGCTGAGCGTGATGGCGTCGCCCGTGTTGGTGCCCGTGGCCACCTTGACGTTGACGTCACCGTCGAGCGTCGGGATCTTGACCTCGCCGCCCAGGATGGCCGTAGTCAGGGGAATAGTGGCCGTGTAGAGAATGTTGGAGCCATCGCGCTTGAACTTGGGGTCGGCGGCGACGCGCACGAGCAGCAAGAGGTCGCCGCGCACCGAGTGGACCATGGATGGATCGGCGCCGCCCAGGGCGGGGGCGTCGCCCTCGCCGTCGACGCGCAGCCGCATGCCGTCCTCGACGCCGCCGGGGATGTCGATGGTAATGGTCTTGCGATCGCGTGTGATACCCTCACCGTCGCAAGTGCGGCACTCGGCCCCGCGGGGCGCGACCGAGCCCGTGCCCGAGCAGGTACCGCACGTCGAGGCCATCTGGAAGCCGCCGTTTATGACGTGCACTCGCGTGCCCGACCCGTTGCACGACATGCAAGTGCTGCGCTTGGCCCCGGCCTTGAGCCCGCTTCCGCTGCATGTCTTGCACGTCACCATTGGGTTGATGGTGACGGTCTTGCTGGTGCCCTTGGCCGCCTCCATGAACGAGATGGACGCCTGTACCTCAATGTTGTCTCCCATGGCCGCCTGCTGCTGCTGCTGCTGCCCAAAGGGGTTGCGCCCCCCGCCACGCCTGCCACCGCCGCCGCCGCCAAAGGGTCCGGCCCCGCCCGTGAATGCGGAGAAGAGGTCGTCAAGGTTGATGGAAGAACCGAAGCCGCCCTGGCCGCCGAAGCCGGAGAAGGGATGGCCGCCGCCGAAGGGGTGGCCCTGACCGGCTCCGGCGCTGGCGCCCGAGGGGTCAAAGCCGGCGGCTCCGAACTGGTCGTACTGCTCGCGTTTCTTTGGATCCGACAGCACCTCGTAGGCGGCTTGTATTTCGGCAAACTTCTCCTTTGCGCCGGTATCCTTGTTCGTGTCCGGGTGGTACTTTTTGGCCAGGCCGTAGTAGGCCTTCTTGATGTCGGCAGCCGAGGCGCCCTTGCTAACCCCCAGCGCGTCGTAGGGGTTTCGTGGGGCGGCGGAGGACCTCGGGGTTGCGTGGAACGTCTGCAATCCCACATGTCAGCGAGTCTGGAGGAGTATACATGGAGGTACGCACGACCGAGTCCCTAGCCATTCCTACGGCCGGGTGCACTCACCCTTTTGCTGCCGACGGCACTACATGAGCTACGAGAACATGCGGCGGCGGGCCTCCTGCTCGCGACGCAAGCCGATATTGTGCGCGTCGCGGACGAGTCCAGTGGCGAGACTGGCAGCTTGCGCTGGCGACATATCCGGGCCCGCGACAGCTGGCGTGCTGGCAGGGCGGCCTTTGTGAGAAGATTGCCGGAATTCATGGCTGGGCGTGACTAAAAGAAAGAAAGAGTTGGAGGAGAGGGGTCGAGGTTCGCTAAATCGTCATGGCCGGGGTGAGACCAACACATGGACAGCCGGGGAGGCGAGGCGAGGAGGACTCTGATTCCGTGAGCGAAAAAGAGAAGCAACAAGTATTTGGCGCCTTGGGGCCGACGTGGTTCAACTCGGCTTCGCTCCAGATCCAGGCGCTTCCATGTTGCTATTCACAATGCACTTTTTTTTTTCCTTTGGCAGCACCATCATTGCGGCTGTGCGAGCCTAAGGCATCAATTGTGGGGGACTGTGGGGGCACGCATGAGCTTGAGCTTCCCGAAGCTTGCGCGCTTTGGACCGGCCCCACCACATCCTGCTTCCCGAAACGGAAATGCCGGCCATGTCTGCTGCTGCCAGAACTTGCCCGCTGTAAAAACAATGGATATCGACCCCATCAACCAGGCGTGCTGTTTGGCGATATTATTTTGCCAGGACCAAAATAGTGGCTCGTGAACCATTATCAGCACCCGGGTTCCGCAACCATGAACTCGCTTCAGGCGCGGCCAGAGTTGACAATGTGCACACCCCAGCAGGCCGACCCTTTTGAGCCCCAGTTCGACTTCGACATTGATCAATGGGCGAAAGAAAAAGTCCCAGTGTCCCCAGCGCGAATTGCAGAAAGGAGAGGGTGCGGTCAGTTGAGGTATAAATATAAAAATAGAAATTGGCAGGAGGCCCGTCCGGCTCTCCTGGAGAGGCCGCTAATCGCTGGCTGTGTCAGTGCGCCCCGTCGTCGCCTTCAATCCTTCCGTTGCAGCCCGCTATACATGTACACGCCAAGTCGCCAACTGGCGCGACGCGCAAAACTCCGCACAAACCACTAGACCCAGTGCTTTCTCTCCTGGTACGGCGTTGGTTCATCCAACCGTCCGTCTCATATATGTCTGGCGTCATAAGCCGTGAAGAGTGTTTATCGGCTGCATGTATTTTCTGTCATCCTTTCGTCTGTTCCTCGGTTGTGCCTATGTGTTTGCGTCCTTTTTTCGTATTCTCCCCGGCTTGGACGTTGCGCCCGACGCCGTCGTGTGGACTTTGTGCAAGAAGTCGACGATTACGTCGTTCTCCTGGACCCCTTGGCTGTTGAAATGCTTGCGGACTGCGCCCGCGAGCTGGTCCTTGCCCTGTCGCCTGAACACCCTCGATCGAAGCATCGTCGGCGACTGGAGCCCCATGCTACCCGGACGCGAGAGGACCCAGCGGTGGTAGTCGGTCATGAAGGAAGTCGGCGTGTTCAATCGGTAGACGCGACGGTAGGAATGGAGGACGGAGCGATCGAATGACGACCATTGGACCTGCAGGGGTGGGGGACGAGTTGTCAGCGAACCGTCGGCGGCACGTCCCAAGGGGAGGATGACGCAAAGCAAGATATGGGTACAGAACATACCGCCGCTCCAGGAGCGCCCGGCTCCTGAGCAGTGCCGTCCGGGGCGACTGCAGAAGCCGAAGAGACGCCACCGGCGGCCGAGGCAGGGGTCAGCCCTGCGTCGGGAGGCGCGACGGCGAACTGCGCCGCCGTCATGGACTCCCGCAAGTTCGTGCCGGCCGAGCTGGCGACGCGACGCATCTTGCCCCCATTGACGACGTGGTGGTGGGGGTGGTGATGTGCCGACGCGGGCGTGCCGTTCAGCCCGTCCTTGTGGCCATGCTTGCCGGCCGAGTGCGGGATTTCTGGCTTGCTGGGGTCGTCGTGGCCGTTCCTTGGCTTTGGAGGCATTTGGGGTGGGAGAGGGGTCAGAGGCAGAGACGGAAGGGTGGTTCCGCAGAGGCGGTGGCTCTGCGACAACGACGGCGGCGGCGGGAGCGCGCGCGATAGGCTGGGGGCGGTGCGGTGCGTGTTTTGCGGGGAAGAGATTCGAAAAAAAAGACCAATTGGGTGTTACATTGTACAAGAATTGTGTAAAAGACGAGTCCTACAGGGTCAGAGAAGCGTCCGTGTTGTCTGCGATGGTGTCTTGTGTGTGTCCGACTAAAAGGGGGTGCCAACCGTAATTTTTCGGCATCGTGTGTCTCCTGACATCAGTAGCTGACAAAAAAGTTGCCCGGGAACAGGTCTGACGACAGAGGCTCCGCAGACCCACGCCGCCCCCCACTCAGCACATGGGGATTGTTCGCGCGGCGCGCGGCGCCACTGCGTTGGTACCGCGCGAGTTCTGCCGACGGGAATTGAAGTTTGACGTGCAGCAGGCAACGTCACAGGCGGGCGATAGAGTGCTAATGATTTAAATTTTGGATCAAAATTTAAGCTTGGGGCTGCTGCAGGCTGGCTGAGGATTAGGTGATGAGAAGTTGAAGTTGGGTCGCCCGATGTCAATGATATGGCTACCAAAAAATCACCCGACGGCACGAAATACCTCCCTAAACTCCATACCATGAACGTACGAACGAGCCGAAAAATGACCCCCACTGTCCCTTTCCTGTCTCTTTGCATGCACAACTGAAGTCCAGACGGGAACTAAAATGTATGTCTCGTGACTTCCTTCCTAATCACATCCAGGTGAGAGCCGATTTGCTCGCCCAGGTTCTGAGGCACCTTCTCGTCGCCCTTTGGATCTGTTCTGCCTGGCTGTCGTCTAGGTGTGGGATACCTACTGTCGGTAGTGTATCTCACAGCCAAAGAAAAGAGAGAACGACTTGGCATAATTCCCTAATTCCCATACGTTCCTTTTGAAGAACCAACATAGGCACAGATGCAAGACCAAACCGTTTGTCACACCCACTCACAACCTACCTCCCACCACCGGACCTCTCGTGATGCCGCGCTTGGGGCTTCAACGGCCGTCCAGTCGCATCCGCTCGCTAAACTGCCAACCGACTGCAACTTGCTTGTTCGTGCCCAAGTTGCTCTTCGGCCGGAACCCCTGATGGATACATCATGTATCACGCTGCATGCAGAGGTCCGCATACGCATCTCGCCTCTCTTGCTTTCCCCCCCCCCTCCTCAACCGTCACGCAGCCGGACCTGCTGAGAACGCGAGGCATTTACTCGTCCGGATGAAATGGCCAGACCGCGGGCCAGACGCATTATTACGACGCGGGGACTCTCACTTCCCACTTTGGCTTGCAGGAGAACACCCACGCCCCCACCACCTCGTCGACCTTTTTGGCGACGTGCAGAAAGCTACCGCCCCAAACGCCAGAGTGCCGGCGCGCCGTGAGTTTTTTCTCGTCCTGTTCAATTTCCCATCCCATTGTTGTCCCTCAGGCGTGGCCCTCTTTCCGGTCTGGCAAATCACTAATCCTTGATCAGGTCAAGTGAGCTGGGGGACTGGATGAGGGCACATCTGGTCCCAGTGGAACTCCTCGGAAGTATCGGAGGTATGTACCCTCTCATGCCGGTCCAATTCAGTGGGACGAACCAGTGCGCCGCGGCGGAAAGTCAAAAACAAGTAACGATCCCACCAAAAGACCTGCGGAAGTGCTATGTATCTGCACAGCGTAATTTGGCTGTCTCTCTACACACAAGGGTCACCTTGGGCGTAAACCTCGATCCCTGCTGAGTCCCTTCATCCTAGCTTTTTTGCACTGTTTCACTGAATTAAACCGGCATGAGAGGATGCTTCTATATCGTGGGTACTTATATGCATGCTCCCCACAGCACACCAGCTCAGGTTGGCCGTCGAGCCTTCAAGTCTTGAAGCAGCGGTTAGCCCAATGCCCATCCATGTCGTTTGATATCACAAGTTGAGGGATCCATGGCCAACATAGACTCAATCTTGTGTGATAGCAAAAGATGTGGTGTTTGTAAGGGAACGCTTGCTGACGAGCAGCTCCATGTCGCTTTGCTATTATCCCAGCAGCATGCCCTCGAGTGTTTGTCCCTGCGTGCCTCGGTTGCGGTGTAATGATAACGCCATCAACACGAATGGTGTGTATAGTTGACCGGCCTCGGCAGCGGAAATTAGCATATTTATCTGCCCGAAATATCCCATCTTGCGTTATAGCTTATACGGGCCCGAGTATTGCCACAATTGCTAGTGGCCACCAGAGGCATCCCACTTGTGGGAACACCCCCGACTTCAAGATGATAGAAGGGTGGGTGACACGCCACCGTTGACGGTGGTGCGTTGTGCAACCGCAAAGCAGGATGCTACCATGACACCCAGACACGGAAGCATGGATGTTGGCGCAAGGGCGAGGGGTAAGCCGACCATCCAACCATCTCGGTAAGCTGTCACCTGCCTTTTGGCCTATCCTTGCTTTTTTTTCTCCTTCTTTTCTTTTTTCTTTTTTTTCGCTCGCGCTAAACTCCACCCATGTCTCAATATTCCAATGTTCCAGGCAGGCACGTATAGACCAGGTCCCGTGCAGCGCGGTGGCTTTTTTTCCACACATCTTTCGAAACGATGCATGTGGTTACTTGAAATTATTACCTCAAGATTGACGGACTCGCCTATCTAGATCGACAGGCAAGGCCGGGCTAGCGAAACATGAATGGGAAGTCGTTTCCCTCGCCCGTCACCGATCGAGATGATGCCCAGCCCGCCAGGGATAAGCTCTGGCAAACCAAACGACGCGGACGGTTTGAAACCCGGCATGACCATGACTATGGAGCTGACCCCCGCGCCGACGGCCCCAGCCGCAGCAACTCCACGCCAAGCGCCCCCGTGTCCATCATGGATGATGCAAAACCCGGACTGTTTTCGATCTCGAGGGCCCATTTCTGCTACGACGGCTCACTCCTGCAATGCCTTCTTGGAAAGTCAGCCCTTCCTCGATGCTTTCCCAAGGGGAAGGAGCTCGTATGGGGGGATGGGGTTTTAGCCGCGAGCTGCAACCATGAACCATGGCGAGCGAGGGCTGGACACACACGCATCCAGCTCAACAGCAAAGCAGCAGCACTTCATGTTACCCCCGGCTAGGCCGTGGTGCAAGCGCGGCGGGATTTTTCAGGCTGTGTGGCCGGCTGGGTTCATCGACGCGGGGGGTTGCAAAGCTCAATCCTACGCTAAAATGCGCCGCCGCATCAATCGATCAAACCCGCTCCCAAAAGCGGCTTAGCCAAGTCCTCGGCGAGCCAGGACAAGCACGGACAAGACCAGATCTCCGCCCAGCGCCCCTCTGTCAATGCCTCCATCCGCCTTTCTCCACCCCATTTTCTTTTCGCGCAATCCCCCCTGTTGGGTCCTCTCTGGCCCACCCAGAATTTTCCCCATTCCACGAAGGAAAGCAAAGCCCGCGAAGCTTTGTAGACAGGGTAGGAACTGGGAACCCAGGGGCTTGGTTTAACCATCCGCATGTCGTGATTCATCGATGGACAGCACCATCGGCCGGGCATGCTGGTTCTGGGGTGAGACGCTGGAGCCATGGATGGATGGGGTGGATGGAAAACAATGGCATTCATCCCCTGGCCGGGTCGGAAACCCCCAATCCCAGCAGGGAAGCGCGACCCACATCGGGCGTGGACCACTTTAACCGATCTCACTGTGGGGTCTACAGAGGACCCAGGCTAATGTATGTGCTACCTACTTACTGTGCAGCTCTCCCAAGCCTGGTGCCGAGGCGACGTGCAGGAGGACTTGCAGAATGGCGGGCGGCCGGGCGAGGCGCGAGGTGCGAGACGGATGGAGGCAGGCAAGCAGGGTGCCTGTAGTGCTTGTCTCGAGATGCGAGATGTGTGCCCTACCTCCCAACCATTGGCCCTGACCGGCCGATCCCCTTTCCCATTCGGGAGGGGGGCGCGAAGACATCCGAACCTAGCTCGTCTACACATGATGGACCGTCCGGCCTACCACGGACGTTTGGCTTGGCTTTTCTTGCCGGCTGGGTGCGTGTGGGAAACGGAAAGGAAAAGGAAGAAAATGAGACGGAATCGAACAAAAATGAAAGAAAAGCGAGAAAACAAACCCCCGGTAGGACGAGCACGGCCGATGATTGTTTCCGGCTGCTGGAAAACCCCTTCCCGCCCGCTTCTTGTGGAAGAAAAAAAAAAAGGTCCCCTCCTCGGGCCGGGCATAGGCCCCCCAAATCGGGTAACACGAACATGTGTCGTCAAACCCAGGGCGATTGCCAAGTATTATGTAGCTACCCTTCCGGGGAACTGGGGAGACCGGTCGCCGCCGTTGTCTCCCTTTCTCCCTCTTTGTGTCCCGCCGGTTGCTTGCACAGGATCAAGGGCCAGGCATGGGGGTTTTAGCGGTGTCTGCTCGCCGCCAGCTCAGGCACAGCCCCACTAGGGGATTCTGCCCCCCCGCAAACTAACATGAGCGACGGACAAGCGCCAGTTCCGTTTCGAGTTTCCTTCCTTTTCCCCCTTCTCTTTTCTTTTATCTCCCCCTTGTCTTCTCGAGCCACTTGCTCAGGACTTTAATAACGCGATGGCATGGGAAAAACGCCACGATCCTAGGCAGCTGGCTTCACACTAGACACAATCATCTTTATTCGTTGAAAGGGTAAAAGCCAGGGACAGGGGCCGTTGGGTGTGTGGGTGTGGTTGCGTGGTTGCGTGGGTGTCCAAACCTCGCAAGGAAGCGCGCAGATGAGCATCACACCCATGCCCATCCAAAGCTTTGGGTTTTCATCCTGGCTAGCCTGGCAGGTAGACTGTCAGCGGTGGGATAGGGCAAACCGTCAACCATCCGCGCCTTTTTTTCTTATGTCTTGCTCTCCTCTTGTTTGATGTCTGGGGAAGAAGAGCATATCCACAACAAGCAGCGCAACGGCCCCATACAGCAGCAGGGTGCCACGCAAGCGGGCGCACATTTTGTCCTGCGGCCTAGTCGATGCAGAGCCGAGGGGTCCATCACCCTCTCCGTGCTCGGGTGTCGGTGGTGTCATTGCATCGCATCGAATCCCCACCCTATTCCCATGGCTGCGCAACTTTGCTGCGTCCTTGTCCAGCGGCCATGGGGAGCGTGGGCCTTGGCAGCCCGGCCGAGGCTGGGCCCCCAGTTTTGCAGCGCATATCCCATTAAAAACCCCCACATACCACTCTTTCTCTCCGTGCTCCGCTCGTTTTCCGTCCTTGCCCTTTTTTTTTTCCCAGAGATTCTCGCCAGTCCCGCATGCTCGAGTCGGACGAAGGGCGCGCGAGACATCCAAGAAGCAAAGGCCCGGCCGCCCACCCGCGCCCCGTCCCGGCTTTGCGCTCCAGCAGCTTCTGTTTTTTTTGTGCTGGTATACAAGTCCATCATCTCGACCCCCTTTTTTTTTCTTGTGCAAGCTTGTCATTTTTGAGCCTGCCTTGCTCGCACCACCGACCGACCCGACCCACGTCCCCTCCCTATTCCAGCAAAAAAAAAAAAAAAAAAAAGGCCCGGCTGCAGTGGTCTTACAGCACCCTCCTCACGCCACATCTTTGGGTTAGTGTAGCGTTCGGTTTTGTCTGACCCCCGCACTCGAGTCTCGGTGCCTCCACGCAACGGCCTGATCTGAGGCATTCGAGGCTCGCAACTTCGATCCGGCGCCGCCAAGTCTTTCCTTGTGTGCCTTTTGTCGAAGCTTTTTCTCCATCTTCTTTCCCTTGTCTCGCCTCGATTCTGTCTGTCGTTTGTCGTCCCTTCTGGCGCTGTCTGACCCCCCCTCCTCGCCTTCCTCTACCGCAACCCTCGCATCCCCTTCACCCAAACCCCGCCACCCACGCCTGGTCAAGTCGGATCGGGCGGACTGCATAGTCTCTTTACCACGGGCTGGTTAGCCGAGCGCCCAGCATTCGTTGATGAGACCAGGCTTGCCGTCCCGCCACAGGCCTCATTGTCACGTCCCGTATTCCTCCCAAAGCACTCCGCACGCGGAACGGGCTGGATTGGACGGATGTGACGAGGGATCGAGGTGCATATGATATGCATCGTGGTGCTATCGAGGGCAGGCCGGTGTGTCTGTGGCGTCGAGTGCCCAGGCCTGCCTGCGCGTGGGTGGCCCCTGTACAAGTCAAAGTACCCTCCATGTTCCGTCCACCACCCACACACACCCACGCCACCTCCACCTTCTACCTCCTCCACCTCCAGCCCGGACGGTAGCTCCACCAAAACCGTGCCTGCTGCCCGCACCCCTCTGCTTCCTTGCTGCAATCCCCACCTAGCGCACGGCCGATGCTCCTCGACATGGAAGTCCTCGTCGCGTCGGCCTTGTTATAGGGTCCGATTTTATAGCTGCGTGCTGCCATGTCACCTCGACCTCCCCTCAACCAAAGGGCCCCGTCGCTAGTCGGTCACCCCCCATCCGATGCCAACTCGGCCTGTAGCTCCCTGTCGCGCTCGCTTGTCTTTTTTTTTTGCTGGTTTTTTTTTCCCCCTGCCTGCCCTGCGGCGTCAACGGATGCCTGTCGTCGCATCGCTACGGCCACCCATTTCTCCCCTTAGGCTTCCCGCCAACGCGGTGCACCTGCCACACATCACCTCTTAGCTCCTTGTGCACCTGGGCGCTGTTTGGTGTTCAAAAGACGCATCTTTCATAATATAGCTAGCGGGATTTCTGACAACGGTTGCTCGCACAGCAAACCACCAGCCTCCTCTTGTATCCTCCTTTTGTGTCCTCGGTCCGGCCAAAGACTTGGCACTACCGGCCCCTTGCCAGGACCCGCAGCCCACGCAATTCGACGATCCCGCACCAAGCGAAGACCCTGCCTGTCAGTTGGATACTGGTTGGGTTCCCCCGTCTTCCCACCTGCCTAAAAGCGCACCACTGGCGACATCAATCCCCATCAGCCCAGCCATGTCCACCTGAGGCCTCGCACTAGGCTGGGTGACGTCTGACTGAGAGTGCGCGCGCACACTTCTGTCCCTCCCACTTCCCGTCGCGTATATACCATCTGCTTCTGATTCGAAGATCGGATACTTGCTCATCTTGTCCCGGCCTTTTGTGGCCTCCGATCGTCACACACAAGCAGCCTCTGCCGGCCACTGCCTGTTTGGCGACACGAACCGAACCGCCAGTCCCGAAAAAAGAAAGAAACTTGAAAAAAAAAAAGTAAAGTCACAAATTTCGCGCTGTGCAACCCGTGCACGGGTGGAAAGTGGCAGGTATCTCTGCTGCCATCTCAACGCCATCCACTCCACTCAGTTACCTCGTGGCCAGGTCGGAACTTACTGAGGGGCACGCAACCCGGCCCCCATCTTCGCTCAGGGTGGTGCGTCGCCTTGCGAAGCCTGCTGCCGCGGATGTGGAACTTTTTCTATCATTGCAGACGGGTTCTGCCGACAGCCTGTCGATGATGCCTTCAGTATTGGGCCCCACACATCCAACCGCCATACCAGGCGCCGGTCTAGGACCCATCCAGCACGACACGCCGGCCGCGCGTTCGCGTTCGAGCACGGCCATGCCTTCGCTCCAGGAGCCGACCCCGCCCCACAACGTCAAGCAAGAGGAGGAGTCTTCCGACAGGGGACGTCGCCGGAGCCGCTCTGACGAAGACGATGACGGCGCCGTCGTCGAGCTGAAGGATGAGCAGGCAGGGGATGGTGACCAAAATCCGGGAAACTCGTCGGCCTCGGATGCAGGCCCTGCCCGCAAGCGCAGGAGGAGCCGGAAAGGCCTGGACAAGAAGTTCGAATGCCCACATGAAGGCTGTGGCAAGAGCTATTCCAGGGCCGAACACCTGTAAGCGCCCCTAACCTCAGCTTCGCTTACTGGCATATCTGCTGCCCGTCTCTATCTCATCCCCGCCACTTGGGCACCCCCGTCCTTTAGCTATCTTCTAACGCGGTCTGATAGATATCGCCATCAGCTGAACCACGCCCCAAAGCAGATATATCACTGTGGCATGGGTGACTGCACCCGCAGCTTTGTGCGACTCGACCTATGCAACCGTCACAAAGACAGGCACACGGCCAAGGGCTCGGCCCTCAACCGCAAGGACAGTATACTGGGACATGGCAGCTCACCAATAATCCAGCCTACAGCCGCGCCATATGCCCCAGCCGGATCCCTATCCCCCGAGGCCAATCGGCCTAGCACAGGATACAACAAACCTCTTCCGAACCACCTGCAGTACTCCCCCAAAGGCGGACCATTCACCGTCCTCAACAATGCATCCCCTCCGGTTTATGCCTCGACAGGCCACCCGAATGGCGTATTCTTCATGCAGCACGACCAGGCTTACGGAGCCATGCATCAGGGCCAGCGGGCGGCACCTCACCAATCGCCAGCCACCCATCCCCAGCGTCCCAGCGTTCAGACCGATGTCGGGCAGTATGGAGTTCTGTCGCCCGTTTCCACCCACCAGGGATACCACACCCATCAGAGCAATACCCCGCAGTCGGCAGTATACGTCGGGACCCAGAACTGCCCACACTTGAGTCTAGGACCTTCGGATTTCTCCCAAGGTGCGGCATCCTCGCCAGCTGTTTCTCGGGATATGGGAGGAGCGCAGTTTTATCCCTCTCAGCAGCCTGGAGACTATGCCGAACAGGCTGCCCGGCAACAACAGCAGCAGGAGCAGCAGCAACAGCGCGGTAGCGACATGATCATGCTGGGTGAAATGGCTATGCCAAGTGCCATGCCGGTCTTCGGCAGTGATCATTTCTATCAAAAATCGCCGTATGCGGGCATGCCTGAGGACTTCATGGCCTACCTGTTCAACACGAACGGTAGCCAGGCGGGCGACTCGCCTCAGGGCCACATACTTCCTCAGGGGAGCAAGAATAAGTGAGTTTCCTCGCCGCTGTTTGCACTTTTAATACATATCGTGTTTGCATGACAGCCACTGACCAGCCGTTTCACGCGAAGCTACGGCGAGTTCAACAATCGCTATAACGTTCCTTATTATGGTGCCACAGACCCGACGCAGCTAGGATACTTCCCGCCACAGCAGGTCATGGCGGTTGGGAACCTGCTCGACCAGAACCTTCCCGAGACTACCATCTCGGAGGAGAAGAGCAACGAGATTTTCGAGTACATCAGGGACAGATTCCACGGCGCCAGCGACGCCTCTCCGGTCGATCGACTGAAAGAGAGCATCGTCGAGGGAGACCGCTCTCGGGACGCTCACATGCTGAGCCGCAAGATGATGCAGAGATACATAACTTCGTACTGGCTGCACTTTAGCGATCAGGTGCCGATACTTCACCAACCCACGTTCCAACCAGACAGGACACCCAACCTGCTGCTCATAGCCATGATGGCCATTGGAGCCGTCAGCCAAGACGAGGCACAAGGGGCGCAGGTAGCCAAGGCCGGCGCGCGCCTTTCCAACTTCCTAGCTTGGGACCTCCGCTGGGCCCTCTACATGGACCCCAACTTCGGGCCACCGGCCAAGCTGTGGACGTTCCAGGCCATGATCCTGCTGGAGCTATACGAAAAGATGTACTCGACAAGGTCGCTGCACGAACGTGCTCACATTCATCACTCCACCACCATTGTCCTGATGCGCCGAGGCAGATCCTTGATCGGCAAGTCGTCCCTCGACTCGCCCAACCCGCAGTCGTCAAGACACTCTTCGGCCGGTGGTGTTCACACGGCGGACGAATGGTGGAATCACTGGATTACCAACGAAGCCACGCGCCGCGCGGCCTTCGCCGCTTTCTGGCTAGACTCGATCCACGCTACCATGTTTGGGCATTCGACCGTTATGGTGGCGCACGAGATGCGTCTTCCACTGCCATGCGACGAGAATCTTTGGAAGGCGAATAGCGGGGCCGAGGTCGGTAGAATCGAAGCCAACCTCCAGTCCAGGGGCATCAAGACCCTCGCTTTCCTTGACGGTCTGAAGAAAACACTGAGCGGGGTCGAGGTCCGGACCAACGCGTTTGGGCGCACGATCCTGATGGCCGGCTTGCTGAGCGTGAGCTGGCATATGAACCAACGGGACCTCCAGGTCAACTCGCTGGGAGGCGGAGTGTCTCAGGCGCTGGGAGGTCGAGACAAGTGGAGGGGCACGCTCACACGGGCCTTTGACTTTTGGCGGACCGACTTTGACAAGGCCCATTCGGATCCTTACATATACGCCTCGGACGACCACAAGCCCACGGTGGAGGCCGTCACGTTGGAGAACCGCACCGTGCTCCATCACCTGGCCCACATGGCGATGCAGGTGGACATTGTTGACTGCCAGATTTTTGCGCGCGCTAAGCGGCTGCTGGGCCGGGCCATCGGCGCGCAGGACCTGAACAGCGCGCAGCGGAGGATGAAAGACAACTGGGCGCCCAAGGCAAGGGCGCGCGATGCCGTCTACTATGCGCTAAAGTTCCTGTCGTCTGTGCTCTTGTCGACAGAACCAGGCACGCCGGCGTCTCAGGGGCAGCCGCCTCGCGAGGAACCGTACTCGGCCCGTGGGGACGTGTTGATGAACCGGCCTTGGGTTCTGTACTTTGCCGCCCTGGTTGTCTGGTGCTACGGGTACGCCTTGGAAGGCCCGTGCAAGGACTACAGCCCACCCTCGACCAAGCAGGCTCAGGTGCGGGAAATGCGCGAGTACCTGCGGACCTTTGGCGGAATCTTGGACCCCGAGGAGCTCAAGGCGATGACGGGGCTGAACCGCAACACGGCACTGCTCATGGTTCTCAAGGAATCGTTTGAGGTGACGCGGTGGGAGCTTCTCCACGAAGGGGCGACTTTGCTTCAGAACTGCATCCAGCTCAACGCAGGCGCCATGGTGTGAAGAATGGAGATGTATGCTTTGCGGCTTCCGTTGTCGACCTCCTCTTTTTTCATTCATCTCTTACCTCGGATCTCCTCTGTTATCACATACTCATATCCTCTGAATCATGGTGGCAAGCTTTGTTTCTTTTATTATGGACAAATGTTGGCGGCAACGGGTTGCAGGAATGCCCAGTCCTGTCATCGACCGCTTTTGACCTTGTTCCAATTATATACCCCTCGACTATTGTTTTATGGCGGCACAGCGGAATGATGCAAACGAAAGGATACCATATTTCTTATCTATCTATTTACGTTTCCATGAAAGCCGGCTGCGATCCAAATGCTTCAGTGTCTAGTCTATACCCATGTCTATCGGCCCAGCGAGCACACGGGCGGACTTTGATTACAGTCAAACCTTGGACTTCACAGGAGGGTCGATGTTGACCTTGCCGTGGTCACACGTGGAGATGACCTGGCCGTTGTCCTCCCTGCGCATGACCCCGCGGAGGGCGCACAGCCTGCCGCCGGCGGCGACGACCTGGCACTCGACCAGGACGGTGGTGCCGGCCGGGGCGGGGCGCACGTAGGTGACGGAGAGGTTCCGGCTCACGCCCATCTGGCTCCAGAAGCCCGGGCGGGAGACGAGGACCAGCGGCATGGTGGTGGCGAAGTCGAAGAGGGTGGCGGCGGCGCCCCCGTGCAGGGTGCCGAGCCTGTTGCAGTGCGACTTGGGCACCGTGTAGCGGAACGTGGCCGTGGCCAGCGGGTCCTCGGTGCCGGTGCCACCGCCCGCATCGGTCTTGGGCCTCAGGCCCGAGGCCGAGATCAGCTCGAGGTGGGGGAAGAAGGGCATGGTGAAGTCCTGGGTTGGGGTGGGTTAGGGTCCGAGTTGGTTGGAGTGCCTGGGTAGGCAGGTAGGTACCTCTAGGCAGGTAGGTTTATGTCTAAAAAAAAACGAAAAAACACAAGGGACACGAACCGAAAACTTGCCGTACGCATCAATGGCTTTCTGGATGGTTGTCTTGGCATTGTCGTCTCCGCCCAAGGGTTTGGTATTTGCTGCCATGATGGGCACTGTGTGAGTGAAGATGTTTGGTATATGTTCAGGTCGCAAGTGTTTCGGCGTTTTAAATATGAATAATAAGTCTTATTGGCGTCGCTCCAAGCAAGTGACAAGTGATGGCCTTTACTGTGAGAGATGGTGCCGACAACCCCTGGCGGCAACGCCGTCCCCACCTCTGGATTCTGGGGAAGCAGTGCTCAAATAGCAGCTGTTCCCCTGCGCGGTAGTGGGCCCAGCTGCCCCTGGCACATGACGCGGTCCGCCATGTTTTGCTGGACCTCGGCAGGGCTGTCGGCAAAAATCCATCCGCACCGCCTGGAAGGAGCGATTGGGTAGAGTTGAGTGCTCCATTCTCCACCTGCCTGATTTCCAGGTAGCACCGCCAAACAGGCACCCCCGACGACATCGACGACATCCGACATCCAACAGGCGAGCGACAGGCGATGATCCCGACAGCCCTCCACAACACGCCCTCGACTAGCTAGCACCCGCCGCCGCCGCAGGCCGAATGCGACAGCGAAAATGGAGTTCGTTGCCGCCGCCGCGGGCGCGTCCTTCGACGAGGGCAAGCCGTCGCTGTTCGAGCTGCTGTCGGAGCAGCAGCTCGCCATGCTGCTGCCGCCCACGATCCGCTACCTCCTGACGGTGGCGACGCACCGCTACCCGCGCCACCTGCTACGCGTGCTCAACTCGTTCGACGAGATCTACGCCCTCGCCTCCCTCATCGTCGAGCGCCACTACCTCCGCACCCGCGGCGGCTCCTTCACCGAGCACTTTTACGGCCTCAAGCGCGAGCGCGCCGCCGGCCCCGTCTCGTCGGCCGACCTACCGCGGCTGTCAGCGGCGGCGCCGCACCTGGTGCGCGACGCCATGGCGCTCAGGTCGACCCGCGACGTCTGGCGCAGCCTCGCCGCGCTCGTGCTCTTCCCCTACCTCAAGCGCCGCCTCGACGAGGCCCACGAGGTCGACGCCCCGCGCGCCGCCCTGCTGGGCGCCGCCTACAACCAGCCGCCGCTCCCAGGTGCACCGCTGCGCGAGCGCCTACTGTACGCCTACCGCTGGTTCCTGCGCCGCGTCTACCCGGGCCTCAACGCGTCGTACCACCTCGCCGCGCTGGCCTTTAGCCTCGCCTACCTGTTCGACGGCAGCCGCTTCCACCACCCGCTCGCCTGGCTCGCCGGCGCGCGCGTCCGCCGCATGAACGCCGCCGACTACCGCGCCATTGATGCGCTCGAGAAGGGTGTTGCTGCTGCCGGCGCGGGCGGCGCGGCCTCGCTGCTCTCGCCCAGGGGGCTGGCGTCCAGGGCGCTGTCGGGCCTGTCGCTGGCCCTCCCCGCCAGCCTGGTCCTGCTCAAGTTCCTCGAGTGGTGGCACGCCTCCGACTTTGGCAAGCACCTGTCGGCCCGGACCGCCGAGAGCCTGGACCTGCCGCCGCCCGTCGTCACGGGCCTGGGCCTGCCGGAGCGGATGAAGCAGGCGGCGGCGGCGGCGGCGGCGGCGGATAGCGGTGTCGATCAAGAGGAGAAGAATAAGAGCAAGGAAAAGGGCAAGGAGATTGATGGGAACGAAGAAGAAGAGGAGAAAGAGGAGGCAGAGCCGCTGGCCGAGGACGCGCCCATCGCCACGCCGTCCATGCTCCCCATCCTGACGGTCAAGCCGCCGGCCGACTCGTCGCTGTGCCCCATCTGCGCCGACGACATCACCACGGCGACGGCCTGCCAGACGGGTGTAGTCTACTGCTACACCTGCATCCACCGCTGGGTCGCGGGCGAGCACCCGAGGCAGGAGGTATTCATGGCGGGGGGCAAGGAGGGCAGGTGGGAGAGCGGAGCCGGCCGGTGCGCCGTCACAGGCCGGCGCGTCCTCGGTGGCACCGAGGGCCTGAGGCGGATAATGGTTTAAGCCGCCTGTTTTGAAGACTCGCTGGAAGTAATTAGGTAGATGATGAGAGCATTAGATGGCGTTGGGAGCGGGCATGATATGTTCTATTAACCACTGTTGTTCTTTTATTGATATGTACTCGGCCTTCCCTAGTTGCCTGTTTGGCCGTCATGGTTGCTCCGGGGGTCGCCCCTGTCACTTTCATAGATCGACTACCTGGATGCTGTTCCCCATCTTCCCGGTATTCCGATACATCTGGGCCGCGTTGATCATGACGCTGCCGTTGTTGGACCCGGGCCCTAGCATTATCCACTTGAACAAGACGGCGTTGACCCCGTACAAGAGCACCTTGACCGCGTCGAGCCATCCCGCGTGGGGGGTGAACAGGTCCAATATCAGGCCCCTCTTGGGCCGCGCCATGAGCCTCTCAAAGGCGCGCTGGGCGTCGTCGAAGAAGACGGCCTGGCGGCCGGCGCCCGAGTGTACGTGGCCGAACACGTGGAGCCTGGGGCGGACGCGCCAGACCTCTTCCAAAAGGCCGGCGCAGCCGAGGCCGAGGTCGAGGTGGTGGCGCTGTAAGTCAATGCGGTAAGCGTTGTGTAGTCGAAAAAAAAGGGGAAGCCGGAAAGGCTTACGGGAGGGGTATGCGTGACAAGGATGTCCGTCTCGAGGGGGACCTTGCCCTCCCATGGGGGAAAGTCCCTCAGGTACTGAAAGGCGTGCTCGGCGCCGCCGCACCTGGGGATGTGCGGCGAGCCGAACACGGCGAGGGAGCGGCCCGAGGGCTTGAAATCGAGGCGGACGAGCTCGTCGAGCAGGTAGACGACGTCGCCAAAATCGAGCTCGTCGGCGCCCTCGGCGGACGCGGCGGCGGCGGCGGCGGCGGCGGCGGCGGCGGGCAGGTGGGGCCTGGCGACGGGGTCGAGCCACGTGTCGTGGTTGCCGGCGACGACGACCTTGTGCTGGTGCGGCAGCGAGCCGAGCCAGTCGAGCTGCCGCTGGATGGCCTCGACGGTGCCCGAGCTCGTCAGGTCGCCGGCGTGGATGAGCAGGTCGCCGTCGGGCACGCTGCCGAGCGTGTGCTCGTGCGTGTCGGATATGCACACCACTCGGATCCGGGGCCGGCCGGCGGGGAGGGCGAAGGGCGTCCCGCGCAGCCGCACCAGGAAGGAGTGGGCCGCGGCGACGAGGTGGTGCAGCGGCCCGTCCAGGAGCTTGTCCAACGCCGTGGGCGGGTCCCAGGGGTGAGGCCGGCGGATGCCCAGGCGGACCAGGATGCTCATTCTTTTTTTTTTTTTT